CTGTTGCATACAAATTTAGGATCATTATGTCTTCCTGATGGATCAGTCCTTTTTGTGTTATGTGATGTCCCTTTTTGTCTGTAGTAATTTTCTTTGCCCTGAGCTTGATTTAATCAGACAATAATACAATTAATGTTTTCCTGTCTTTTTACATTCTTTTACTTTCAATCTACATTGTTGAATTTGGAGTGAGTAAATAGCATGTAAAGAGCTCTGGTGGTGTAGTAAAAGCATTTGGCTGCTAACCAAAAGGTTGATGGTTTGAACCCACCAGCCACTCCGTAAGAGGTGGATGAAGTAGTCTGCTTCCATAAAGATTTACAGCCTTGGAAACCCTATGGGGACAGTTCTACTCTATCCTACAGGGTCATTATGAGTTGGCATTGACTTGATGGCAGTGGGTATGGTTTGTTTTTGGTAAATGGCATGTACTTGTGTCATTTTTTTAAAAATCTATTCTGAAAGTATTTTGGTTGGTGCATTTAAATTATTGACATGTTACTGTTTAAGTCTGCCATTTTATTTTTTGTTTTCTGTTTGTTTCCTCTGGTTCTTGGCTCTCTATTGTTCTCTTCTTGCTTTCTTTGGACATTCTTTTTTCTTTTTATTGTGATTTGGGTGAAAATTTACAGAGCAAATACCTTTTCCATGCAGCAATTCTCATACATTTTGTTTTATGACATTGACCACAATTTACCACAATGCAACTTCTCCCCTCTTAGTTCCTCCCGATAGTTACCTCTTCCCTGTGTCCATCCCTCCATGCACTCCTGCCCCCTGAGCTGTCTCCCTGTGCATAAGCAGCCCTTCTTTCTCCTATGCTTGTTCTCTCCAAGGAGTGTATCTACCTCAGGTAAATGTTCAACTCATATGCCTGTCTTTGGACATTTTTAAGGATTCCTTCTTGATTGATATGTAGTGTTTTTGAGTGTATTTCTTCATACAGTTTTCATAGAGGTGGCTATGATACTAGTATATGCCTTGGTTTCTCATTATAGTCTACTGGTATCAACATTTCACCACTTGAAGTGAACCAGGGATACCTTACTTCCATATAGATCTCTATATTTAGGGGTTCCCTCAGATCCCTCTCAGGCTGGGGATTCTGAAGGAGAATTCATAGGACTCAACAGATGGTCATATTACTAAAATTTATTACAGCAAAAGGATACAAAGCAAAATCAGCAAAGGTAATGGGGAAGAGTCCAGCTTCCAAGAATCCTCTCCCAGTGGACTCACAAAGGAAGAGCTTAATTCTTCCAGCATTGAATTGTGACAACAGTGTGAAATAGTATCTACCAGGGAAGCTCATTAAAAACTCAGTCGGTTTTTATTGTAGGCAGTCACACAGGCACCTTGCCTAACACATACCAGAAATCCAGACTCCCAGAAGGAAAGCAGCTGTTCAGCATAAGCCACATTCTGAGCCACTTTTGTCACTTATGGAATGGTGGGATCCCTCCTGAAATCCAAGTTCCTGGAGGCCAACCAAGGGCCAACTTCACAAGCTGGCCTTTCTGAGGATAGCAGTCTTTGGCCTGCTCTGTTTACCCTTTTCTGCACACCTCTTTATTTTCCCCACTTTTTAAATATCATTGTCTTCAGTATCAATGGCATCACAGTTTTTGTTCCAGTCGTCAAATAATATTTGATGAGTTTTTTTTTGAAAACTTTATGAAGAAAAGGATAGTCTAGTAATATATACCCATATTACTGCTTCTTTTTTTCTCCTTTCTTGATGCTTCAAAAAAAATTTTTCTATATATATATACTTTTTTTTATTTGAAGAACTTCCTTTAGTTAATATTTAAGGATAGATCTGGTGGTAACAAATTCATCTGCCTTCGTCTTAGAACGTCTATGTGTCTTCTTTATTCCTTAAGGATATACTTTCACTGGATATAGAATTTCTGGTTGTGAGTTCTTTTATCATTACTTTATTATTTAAACAAAGCACCACTTCCTTCTAGCCTCCGTGGTTTCATGTAAGAAATCTGCTGTCATTTGAATTATTGTTTTTCCATTAGTAATGAGTGGCTGTGGAGGCAGTTCTGACTCATGGTAGCCCCAGGTGTGTTAGAGTGGAACTGTGCTCCTTAGAGTTTTCAATGGCTGATTTTTTGGAAGTAGATCACCAGGGCTTCCTTCCAAGGCACCTCTGGGTGGACTCAAACTGCCAGCCTTTTGGTCAGCAGCCAAGTGCTTTAACCATTTGCACCACTGTTTTTCTCTCGCCACTTTCAAGATTTTGTCTTTGTGTTTGATTTTCAGAAGTTTAATTATGATGTGTCTTGGCATGGAGTTCTTTGTTTTATCCTGTTTAGTGTTTGCTCACCTTCTTGAATCTCTAGATTTGTGCCTTTTATTAATTCGGGCAAGTTTTCAGTCATTGTTTCTTCAAACACTCTTTAAGCCCCACTCTTTCTCATCTTCTTAGAGAATCTAATGAAATGAATATTTGATCTAATTATTGTCCCAGTGGCCCCTGAGGTTCTATTTAATTTTCAGTATCTTTTTCCTTTCTTTTGTTCAAATTGGGTAAATTAAATGGATCTATCCTCAGATTTCGTTGATTCTATCCTTTTTATTGCCAGTCTACTATTGAGACTATTTAACAAGTTGTACTATTTTTGAGGTCTCTAATTTCTACTTGATTCTTCTTTGTATCTTTTAGGTTCTTTGCTGAGATTTTCTATTTTTCCATTTGTTTCAAGAGAATTTGTAATTGATATTTGAAGCTTTTGTGTGATGACTGCTTTAAAATTCTTGTCAGATATTTCTAACATCTGATCCATCTCAGTTTTGGTATCAGTTGATTGTCTTTTCTCATTCAGAATGTGATTTTCTTGGTTCTTGTTATGATTTGAGATTGCATACTAGACTTTTTTTTTTTTCTGTTATGCTAGGAGACTCTGAGTTTTATTTAAATCTTTTAAGTTAACAGACACTCACCCTGTTTAGGCTTAGCATGGACATTCTGGCCTAATTTGGGGACTGTGGTTGTAATCACAGCTTAATTTTCAGAATGTTTATTTTTATTTTTTGGTCTGCTTGGTTTAGTGGTACTGCTGGGGCCTCCAGTGGGCCCTGCTGGTGCTACCTGAGGGTGGAAGAGATTTCCCAGGACTGGGCTACTGAATGTCCTTTGCTGGAAGAGGAAAGTCTCTAGCCCACAGTGACAAAGAGGCTTCCATGACCATGCACTTGTGGCTAGATCCCCCATAGTGGTGCTTCCTGGCTACCATTGTGTATCTAGAGTAGGATGAGGGAGTCTCAGACCCATGGTAACAAAGATGCTCCCAGGCTGAGCTAGTTGGTATGGTTGGGTATGTCTTGATAACGCTACCCAGTTGTCTTAGTGTCTCTCAGTAAAAGAGGGAGTCTCAGACCCATGAGCACAAAGCACAAAGGGCTCTTGGATTGAGCCCTTTGTTGTGGCACACCTCCCCTTGCCATTGCCATCCAGCTGCCCCACTGACTCCTAGTTGGGGAGGAGGGCCACAGGTGCATGGGCACAAAGAGGCTTGCTGGGCTGGACCATTGTTTTGGCAAGATCCCTCTCACCAGTCCTGCTTGGCCATTTCAGTATCTCTTGTTGGGAAAGGAGATTATCAGGCCTGGCAGAGAAGGAGAGCACATCTCCTGGGTGCTTATTTTTGGCGGGGCTCCCAATTGATCCCCCTTGCTGATTCTTCTAGGTTGCTAGGTTGGGTGTTGGGAAATGCTGGGCTTTGGTCCCCTTCTTCTATGGGGAGAGGAAGCAATATGACCCCTTGGTACTGTGTATTTCTTCATTCCTAGGGTCCCAAACCAGTTTACTTTCCTCTTACCACCT